CTGTTGGATCTCATACATACTGATGTGTGTGGATCATTCAGAACCGCCACAAAGGATGCTAACCGCTTCTGTGTGACTTTAATTGATGATTATAGTAGATATGAGTATATTTACTTAATCAAGCATAGGTCTGAAACTTTTGAAAAGTTCAAGGAGTTTAAGCAAGAAGTGGAGAATCAATTGGGCAGGAAGATAAAGATGCTACGATCCGATCGTGGAGGAGAGTATCCTAGTATCGAGTTCCTTGACTATCTTAAGGAATGTAGAATTGTTTCACAATTGACGACACCTAGGACACCACAACTTAATGGTGTGGCTGAGAGGTGCAATAGAACATTGTTAGACATGGTTCGTTCCATGATGAGTCGAGCTTCGTTACCCATCTCATTTTGGGGGTATGACTTAGAGACTGCCGCCCATATCCTTAATCTAGTCCCTACCAAAAAGGTTTCCAAAACACCTCACGAGATGTGGACATGGAAAGTTCCCACGTTAGGCCACATCAAAGTTTGGGGTTGCGAGGCTTTTGTGAGAAAAGAAACTCACGACAAGCTTGAACCTCGGAGTGAGCAATGTATTTTCATCAGCTACCCACAGAAATCCTTTGGATATCTCTTCTACAGACCGAGTGACAATGTTGTCTTCGTTGCAAGGAGAGGAGTATTTCGCGAGAGAGAACTCATAGGCCAAAGAAACGGTGGGAGGCAAATTGACCTTGAAGAGCTTCAAGAGTCAAGCGGTGAAGGAACCTCAAATACTAGCAATCAACCTGAGGTGGAAACTCTGGTTGATCCAATTGACGAGTCCTTACCTCTGAGGCATTCCAGTAGAGTTAGAAATACACATGAGTTTTATGGTTTCCATATTACTACTGAATGTGATACATTTATCAGTGATAGCACACTGGTAAATTTGGATGAACCTAACAACTACAAGGAAGCCATGGCAGGCCCCGAGTCTGCAAAATGGAAAGAGGCTATGGACAACAAGATTCAATCCATGTATGACAATCAAGTTTGGAACTTGGTTGATAATGTACCGGTTCATAAGACAGTCGGGTGCAAATGGATCTTCAAGAAGAAGACTGACATGGATGGGAAAGTACACACATATAAAGCACGACTGGTTGCGATGGGATTTACTCAAACTTCGGGAGTTGACTATGATGAGACCTTCTCACCAGTAGCAAAGATTAAATCTATAAGGGTTATGTTGGCCATAGCTGCATTTCATGATTATGAAATATAGGAAATGGATGTCAAAACCGCTTTCCTTAATGGAAAATTGGCTGAAGATGTTTACATGAGTCAGCCAGAGGGTTTTGTCAATGCAAAGTACCCTAATAGAGTGTGTAAGCTTGAGAAATCCATTTATCGATTGAAGCAAGCATCTCGCAGATGGAATCTTTGTTTTGATGAGAAAGTCAAAGAGTTTGGATTTTCGAGAAGTGAGGATGAGTCCTGTGTCTATGTCAAAGCTAGTGGGAGTATAGTGATCTTTCTTGTATAGTATGTAGATGACATACTGCTCATATGATATGACATCCCAACCTTGCAGGAGTTTAAGTCCTGGCTTGGGAAGTGTTTCGCTATAAAGGACCTCAGAGAAGCTGCTTATATCCTAGGGATCAGGTTATTGAGAAACAGGAGTAAAAGACTAATAGGACTTAGTCAAACTACCTACTTGCACAAGGTGTTGAAACGTTTTAGCAAGGAGGAGTCCAAGAAAGATGACTTACCTATCTAGAGCAATACCAAACTGAGTAAGACTCAGAGTCCGAGTACAGAGGCTGAGATAGCAGAAATGAGTCGAATACCATATGCTTCCGCAGTTGGCTCGATCATGTATGCTATGACTTGTACTCGCCCTGATGTAGCCTTTGCTTTGAGCATGGTCAGTAGATATCAAGGGAATCCTGGTAAAGCTCATTGGACAGCGATTAAGAACATTCTTACGTACCTACGGAGGACTAAGGACTGGGTCCTTACCCTCGGTGGGAGTGATGACTTGAGAGTGACAGGGTATAGCGACGCCAGCTTCCAAACCTACCGAGATAATTTTTGCTCTCAGTCGGGCTGGGTGTTTACCCTGAATGGGGGAGCAGTGACATGGAAAAGTTCCAAGCATGAGACTGTAGCTAATTCAACGTGCGAATCAAAGTACATAGCAGCAAGCCAAGTATCGAAGGAGGCGATATGGTTGAAAAACTTCACCGGAGACCTTGGATTCATTCCATCCATAAAGTACCCTCTGTAGATTTTCTGCGATAATGAAGGGGCAGTTGCCTTAACCAAGGAACCGAGAGATCATGGTAGATCTAGGCATATTGACAGAAAGTACCACTTCATAATACATCAAGTAGAAGAAGGACACCTCGTGGTAAAGGGGATATCGTCAGAGGACAACCCAGCAGATCCCTTTACAAAGGGACTGACTAGGGTTAAGCACTTGCAGCATGCGAGGGGCATTGGGATAACGGACGATATTAGTTTTAGTAATTAGATAAATCGAAACTTGTAATAGCTAAATTGTAATTGACATTTGATGATTAAATAAAAAGAGTTTTATTTATAAGTAATGTTACTGTCTTGTGTCAATTATTTACTATTGTTTCACTTTGCATGTTTTGACTTCTAGAATAATTAAATTATTCAAACCATCCACAGTCGATCATACGTCGGAAGTAAGTATGAAAGAAGACTATCATGAGTTGGCTTGTAGATTGTCTAAGGAGTTAGACATAGCAAAAGTTTGGTACACCATTCATGAGTGCTCCTAAAATAAGATTTAAGTATTGGAGTCAACCCGCGCTCACCTGAATCACTTCATGGAATTTATCACGAGTGATTGTGAGATGATAATATCATATAATCTTCAAACCAAGATATATGAGTTGTTGACTACGAGTTGGTTGTGCATTCATGGCATGAACACGCATCAGTAACTTGATGTTATAAAATGTGTCGTTGTGCATGATTTGATGAGTAGTTAGTACAAGCATATAATGTCGAAGTTTATATGTTCCTTTTATCCTAAGAAGATTAAAATCTTTATCGTGGGCCCCTCGATGATTTTGTTTTGACTATGTGTCGGGCCCGATCAGAACTAAATTGATGTGTTCATTTATGTTCTATGTCAGACAAATCGGAAATCGGGAAACGAATTGCAGGACAATAAGTATGACTATGTTCCATGTGTTTGTCCGCATAGATATCTTGAGAACAGAGGAGTATATGATCCCTTATCCGAAGGACGCGTCATTGACTAGGTCAGAGTTCGACAGTGGCTTTTGAAAGCTTACGATTGTTAAGTCGGATCCTGAAGTCACATTGGCAGCTATAGTTATTAGACTTATCCAAGTAGGAGACTGTTGGATTTGGTGTCTAAGCCCATAACTATAATTGGTATGTACTTGAACCGATTGTAGCATGGACCTTTTGGGTTGCCTTCACCAGTGCAATTTGATAGGATGGATTTTGAGAATAAGGTTATTTATGGTTTATTAATATATTACAAGTATAATATATTAATATGAAATCATATTATTTAATTAGTATTGATCAAGAATTAATTTGGAATTAATTTTGTGGTCAAAAGAGACTAATTAAATGTATGAGGATTGATTATGTAAATCAAGGTGTAACCCTAGCATGTGCTACACTATAAATAAGCCCCTCCTAGAGCCAAAATCGATTGCCACTTACTTTCCATGAGGGTGAAGTTGATTTTGTGCTAGTAGCCTATTCTCTTAAGCCTCATTTTGCATATTGCTGTTTGTGAACCATTAGAGGCATCACACTTGGGGTGCTCAAGCTTTCAAAGGTCAAGAACTACTAGTCCTTCTAAAAGGTATGTCATCTAACTATATGTATTATTCAATTGGCAATTTGTATGCTAGTTAGGACAATGCTTTGGAAAAAGTGAAAATATGCATGTATAATAGAGAAAACATAGATTCAAAGCATTTAGGGTTGCATGTGCACCATAGGAGTGTTATAGTGCTCAAAACCCAACATGTATGGCGTTGGTATTTTAGGGGAACTCACTATGCTTCGGGCTTACAGTTGTTAATTTTGTTTCAGGTACTTTAGATGATCGCGGGAAAGTGAAGGCGTGATCGTGCACCTCCTCATATTTTTATGATTTGATTTATGGGACACTCTGACATGAAACTATATTGAAAACAATTTGTAGTAACTATTTGTTTTTGAATGTTTTAAAAAGTTTTAAATTGGCTTGAATTTTATGGATGTTACAATTTAGCTCTATTGCGCAACTCTCATTTGAGTCCAAACATTGTAGTGCAGGATATTTCAGTTGAAAGAATGTTTAATTTTAACGACATGTAATTGTATTCGTCAGATAATTAGTTAATATTGGTAGAATTTCTTCCTCGGATGATAATAAGGTGAAGTGTAAGGAAATCCTAGAAGGAGTGTGTAAGAAGTTTAGTATGTGCTTGATAGGGCATATATTAATGAAGTTGGGCGATGCACTACTAGAAAAACAGCCTTTTACGACGCACAATGCGTGTCGTAAAACGCTCAGACGACGCACAAATGTGCGTCAAGGAAGCCCCTGTCATAACAAGAGACGACACGCTTTTGCGCGTCGTCTATAGACGACGTGCATTTATGACACGCAATGTGTATCATTAAAACCCCTGTCAAGAAAGGCCATGTCATAAATGAAGATGACACACATTTTTGCGTATCATAAATTTAAATGTTTAAAAAATATATATTTATATATTTATTAATTTTTAAATTAAATTTTCATTTAATGTATCATAATAGGAATAAAATACCATATACAAAAAATACAATCCATTGCATAAAATTTAGTGTCATACAATTCTATTTCTTACAGTATATAAATTTGCATTCATCTAATCTACTCTATGTTTCATACTAACAATTGAAATGAAGAATGCAACACTTGCATTTGCAGCATCTTATCTCTTTCAGCTTGAGCTTTCTTTTCCTCTTCTAACTCCAGAGCTATTCGCTTCCATCAACCCTGTAAACACAACACAAAATCACTTGTCATTTTCATTCTACTTTTAAAAATAATTCTTATTAGGACATTCTACTTTTAAACCTACCAATCTAGCAAATTTTTCAAAGAATATAATTTATAATTTTTTTTATGGAAAGTACATTGCTATTTCTTGAATACAAGATGTTACAAATCAAGAAACTTACATGGACTGCTGACCACCAGTTTCCTGCATCATCTGAGTATACATATGAATATCATCACTTATTCTCAAGTTCCCAAGGGATGCCTTTATGCTAAAAGAAGATGTTGATGAAGAAACAGAGAACACATCATATTTCACAAATGAAACTAATTTAGAAGTACACCATTTTAATACGTAGATTCACTAGTAATAAAGGAAGAAGTCAAATGGAGCTTTCTTTATATGATTTGTTGTGAAATTATCTTGAGGCATAGTAGTATCAGAAGGAATACCTACCCTTTCCCAGCAGACCTGTGACTTCAGACCCATCAAGCTCCCTAGAATAGTGCAGTGATAGCACTAACAGATTCCATAATAAAACTCATTAAAACCCATGTAAGTTAAAGTAAGATTAATATTATTTGTTCGACATTTTAACTTTAGTGTTGTTGTTTCTTGTTGTGTTCTTATCTCTGCAATGACAGACTGTAGAAAACAAACAATTAAGTAAGTGCATATAACAACAGGAAATTAAATACATTTTATGAATTATATAATTGAATTAACAAAACTTACAACGTGAAAAGAATATACTTCCCTCCTATAAACATTCTCTCATAACAAAATGTATTAAGAAAAATACCTAATTTCCCCCTTCACTAATAAGATTTTCTTTATTTGCTGATTTTCCCATATTACCTTTGTCTAAAGTACTTGAATGAAGTGGATGTGTATCATACAAAAAGAATGGAACAAGATATTACTAAAATACAGTTTCATAGTCTAGGCCTTGGTTATCCTCTGGTGAATAATTGTCTGAACTTATATCAACAAAGTTGATTGCATTGTAGTTATTAATGAATCTCATGTACAGTTGTACCATTTTTTTAACTCTAATGTTTGTAACATATATTTGGTTATTGATGTTTTTGTCATTGTAAGCACATCACAATTCTTACATGTATATATATTCAGTTATTATTGCATCAAGTTGCTTTGTATATTACAACATCTCAGTGTCATTCCTTCAAAATATACATACACAAAATCTTTCCTGGATGTGAATTACATCCTACAACTCTAGCTGTCATTGCAAATTTCGTCCTGCCAATTTTGAAACAGTAAATTACTTTCAAAACTCTATTACTAGATGTTGATAAGTTAAACAACCAATTATAAAATAAATACTAACATTTTTCTTTCTAGCCTCCAAAACTTCTTCTAAAGGTGGTCGACCTAAGTACACAAAAATGTTAACCAGTGGAAGAAAAACAAAAGGATATATGTATGAGTCAACTATACCAGTTTCTGAAGATTTAGAAGAGTCAGTATCTCCTTTCGCAATTCCAGATGCTCTGCACAAACAGCTTTAGTAGGGACTTTGGGTTTCAAATTCACCTGTTAAATGGAAAGCGTATATTACTTATTGCATGAGTAAGATAATAAACAACGGAAGATAGTACTAAAAATTTGGAATTAAAGAATGCATAGAGGAATGGATAGTAAGAAACCTTGAGCTCTTGTAAGAACTGTTCAACACGCTTAATAGTTCGCAATCCTACTGAAGAGCTTGCAGCTTGCACCATTTGATCCAGTGCATAGGTTCTCAAGTACACTGGAAGCTGCACACAAGAAATAATGATATGATTTCCTTCAGAGTACAAATATGAAAAAAAAGAAGCAAACAAATCTTGATTGATATGTGGGGCAGGTGTTGAATTAAGAAACATACAAGTATTTACCATTCATGTTAATATTATATATATATATATATATATATATATATATATATATATATATATATATATAATATAGAAGCAATGGCACATAAAGACTTGCCATACCATGCGAAGAGAAGCTGCAGCAGCAGCAACATTGTCTGCCATTGACATCAAAGGTGCAACACCTCCACCTCCACTTGCAGCCACCTGCATACTAGAAGGTGATACGGTATCAGCAGGAGCACCATTTTTCTCCACACCTTCTGGACTAATATTTGATGTGACACCCAACTCTGCATCTTGAGCAGCCTGAAAAACACATAACCAAGTATTATCTTTTCAGAAAATAAGCGGCATAGGAAGCTTAATCCTTCACATCATTCCAGAAGTTCATAAAATTACTAAAATTGCTATTAAACACTTCACAAGATTACAAAACTTACCTTTGCAGCCATACGTGAATCAGTTATTTTCTTAGCTTCAGAAAGAACCTGAAACAAAAAGCTTATGTTCCATATTAATACTAAAAGAAAAAAAGGCTTTGATTATTTGAAGGGAAAAATGCATACCTCAGCATCTTTACGCTCTTGGTGCTTTGTCTGGGAGAGAACCATGGACAATGCACGCTTACGCTCTATCTCTTGAGAGATATTATATGGTTCCTACATTGAGAAAAGTCTAGCACATGATTTGTATCGAAACTGTTTGAAGAAAAATAAATAAATTTACCTTAACAAGAGGGTGACAAGAAACATCGGCAAGAGTTGGGGCCCTCGCAATCATTAAAGCTCGATTGGAGTGGAAGAAGAGAGAAACAGAGAAGTTAGAAGTGTGGATTGAGTTTTTAGGGTTCAATTTCAAGTCAATTAGTAAAGAGTCCAAAACGATTACACCTCCCTGTACCTCACTCAATAATCGAAACCATAGAAATTCTTGAATTCTGTATGAACAAGCGACGAATATGCGAAGTTGTAGAAGGATCGCGCTGGAGATGCAAAGTTGGAGAGCAGATGTAGAGAAGTGAAGTGGTGGAGGTTTGAGAATCGAGAGAGAAGAAAGAAAGAAACGGGGTTTTCGGCGGGGATGAGATACGGTTTTCATCCGGTGGAAACAAAGCGGGCTTTTTTATTTTTGGATTTCATTTCCCCCCTTGGATGAAACGCGCGTTTCATTAAAATTTATAAAGCGACATGGTTAGACAACACACATTTTATTTAAGGTGCCCTCCATGTTTTTTTTATTAGACACTAATTTTAGGGCACGCCAAAATGCGTGTCCTCTATGCTTCATATTTTGGAAAACTGACAGCAATTTTTAGGGCACGCACAAATGTGTGTCCTCTATCAGCGCGTGTCATTGATTGCGCGTCGTAAAAGGCTGTTTTTTCTAGTAGTGATGGTAAAAGAATCGAAAATTCTAGTGGAGTCTAGGAAGATTTGTTGTATGTTCCCGCTTGAAGACATACATAAATTGCTTTGTGGTAGTCACATGTAGTGACTTGGGAACTTCGTAGCAATTCTTGGGATGAGTATGCATAGGTGTGAAAGGTAGTATAGGCCTATACTACCGGAAGCATATGATCCGTACTTGGATCAGGGGGAGTCACAAAGTTTCTGAGGCATTGGTAGTTTGGTAGATAGTGTGAACTGTGCTACAAATTCACTTTGACTATTTCAGTAAGCCGACAATTTATTGATGACTAAGCATAGCGAAGGTTGTTATTGATGTGTTTTATAGGTTATTAAAACACATATGAAGTGAAAGTCATAACTCTGAAGTTCACGTGAAACCTATAAAGGATCTATGTTTTCTCTAATTGATAGCAATAAACAATGAACATCAAGAACCCTAACGGAGACCTATTATAATAATAAAATACATAGGATTAGGGTTACATACCTTTATATTATTGTAGAAAATAATCATTCCAATTGCCTTCTTGAAAACTTTCGAAAGCAAGCACCAAAAGCTTACTGTTAATGGTTTGTACCTAAACCCAAGCAATTAGAATACAAGAGGAGAGATGAGGAGAGAGGAAAGAGGATAAAATTTGGATATTCTCTTGGTGATAGGAGTGGACAAAAATGGGATACCCAATGGCCCTATTTATAGCTGATACATGGAACCTTGGAAACCCTGAGTTGAATATAATATTAATATTTCAAATTAAGTAATTATCCAATCTATTAATTGTCTACAAGGAATATTCCATAAACCCTTTTGACACCAGGAATATTCCATAAACCCTTTTGACACCCTTCAAAACTATCCAGGCCTTGGAAGGTTCTTGAACTCCCTCTTTTTCAACTATTGAACAATTACATCTTAAGTTCTTGCACTTTAATTAATCCAATTAATTACAATTAGTTTCTGATTAATTCTTAAATAACTAATACTATTTTGAATTAATATATTAATCACATATTATATTGAAAAATCATTTATTACAATTTATTAATCATATAATAAATCAACAAATCAACCTCTCTCTCCAAATGTCATTCTATATAATTACTAGTTATGAGGGCAACCCAAAAAAGACTTTGCTTTCAATTCAAGCATATACCAATTTAGTTATGATCTTAGACATGTGTGCTTTCCGAAGCAACTACCAAACTCTGATCAAATCAGACATTGTCCCTAAGATAAGTGATCAAATATTCCTTCGTTCTTAAGTATATCGTATGAACATGAGATATGGATTATAATCAATCTCATTGTCCTGATTTCCCGATTTGTGATGATGTCATTAGACTAATCATTGAACACATCAATTTAGTCATGGCTAAACCCAACACTATAATGTCAACACCAAATCACCGAGGGGATCAACGATATCGCTTTTCCTGTTAAGGTAGAAGGAACGAATAAACTTCGACTATATAACGGCATCCTTCACTTACTAAATCATACATGCCACTATATTTTATAACATCATGTTACTGATGCGTTTACACAATACCAATGCATAACTGATTCATAAATTACAATTTATATATCTTCATTTGAATAATAAAAGATATTATTGTCTTAGAATTACTCGTGATAAATCCATGAAGAAATCTCTAAGCACGGGTTTATCCAATACTTAAAATATCCATTTTTTAAGTACTCATGAATATTGTAGCAATCCTATTGCAATGTCTAATCTTTATAGACAATCTACAATCTATTAATGGCAGTCTTAATTCGCTACTTACTTTCAAGAATATGAGTGACTGTGGAATTTGAATAATCAAAACATTCTGGAATTAAAACAAGTAGACTGAAACACAAGAATAAATAATTGTAAAAGGTACTACAATTACTCATAAATAATTCTCTATTATTTAATCACCAAAATCAATTAGAATTATTTATTACAAAGTTTCAAATAATCAATTAACTACTAAAACTAATATCATCACTTAAGCCAATGCTCATATCATGCTGGTTGTGCTTGACCCGGCTCAAATCCTTCGTGAAAGGATCTGTAGGATTGTCTTTCGATGATACTCGCTTCACCAAGAGATGAACTTCTGATGGGTTTTAAATGAAATAATGTGGATAAATCCTTATACACTTAAGAATACATGCAACCTATTAGATCTAGTCGTAAATCTACTGAAGTAACATTCTATTTAACAACAAGAACCCTATAACCCTAGGTAATTTCAGAATTTATTGGAGAAACATACCTCATGATTCTTGTAGTAAACAATCAAACAGACTTTCTTGTAGTTGCTTGGAAACTAGCACCAGAAATCTCGTGCCTTTGATGGTTCACACCACACCAAACCTAAGCAACAAGGAGGCTTAAGAGAGAGAGAGAGAGAGAGAGAGAGGAGAGGGGAGATGGAATTTTCGTTTATCTCTTGTAAAGGAGGAGTTGCCGAAAATTAAAGCCATTAGGGTCTTTTATATAGTTGAGTTAGGAAACCCTAGATAACCCTAATTTGAATATTATATTAATATCTCAAATTTGGTAATTATCTACTCTCTAATTATCTATAAGAAATAAACTAGAAACTCTAGATTACTCTCCAAGAAACTTTCCACCTCTATAGGGGAAGGTTCGGGAACCTCTCGCTCAACTATTAAACAATTACAATTAGACCCCTGTAATTTTAATTAATCCAATTAATCCCAAAACTAATCCCAATTAATTTTTGATTAATTATTAATTAAATAATATTAGTTCTAATTAATATATTATTTTCATAACATATTAATAAATTCATTTATTGTTATGTATTAATCATATAACAAATCAATAAATCAGTCTCTCTCTCTAAAAGTCATCATATTGAATTACTAGGTTTGAGGGCAACCCAAAAAGAACTTTGCTAATTATTCAAGTATATATTAATTCATTTATTGGCTTAGACACCTAATCCAACACCTTCTTCAACCCTATGTCTGATGTAATGGTGCTTCCTGTCGATATGCATAGATCTACCATGATCCTTTTGTTCTTTTGTCAAAGCAACCGCGCCTTCATTATCACAGAAAAGTTCCATTGGCTCTTGAATGGTCGGGACTACTTTGAGATCACCGATGAAGTTCTTCAACCAAGCCGCTTCCTTTGATGCTTCATTTGCTGTGATGTACTCTGATTCACAAGTAGAATCAGCTACTATTTTTCCAAGTCACGCTCAACCATTCGACAAGAATACCCAGCTAGACTAAGAACAAAAGTTGTCTCGATCAGTCTGGAAGCTAGCGCCAACATATCTACTTACTTTTAATGTATCATTACCTCCAAGGACTAGAAACATGTCTTTTGTCCTCTACAAATACTTAAGAATGTTCGTCACTGCTGTCAAATAGGCTCTACTAGGATTACCCTGAAATCGACTAACCATGCTAAAAGAAAAAGACACATCAGGGTGAGTATGTGTCACAACATACATGATCGATACTACAGCCGAAGCATATGGGACTCGATTCATATAAGCTATTTCCCCATAAGTACTAGGACTTTGAGTCTTACTCAACTTAACAGTATGATGGATGGACAAATCCCATTTCTTGGAATTTTCCAAACTAAAACGTTTCAATATTTTATCCAAATATATACTATGGCTAAGACCAATAAGACATTTACCTCTATCCCTGTAAATCCTTATCCCAAGAATATATATTGATTCCCCTGGATCCTTCATAGCAAAACACTTTCTAAACCAAGATTTCACTTATTTCAAGGTTAGAATGTCTTTTCCTATAAGGAGTATTTCATTAACATAAAATACTAGGAAAGTAACTATAGTCTCACTAGCTTTGACATATACATAGGAATCATCTTCACTTCTAGAGAATCCAAAGTCTTTGACCTTCTTATGAAAACAAACATTATGGATGTGAGACGATTTCTTTAATCCATAAATTGATTTCTCAAGCTTACACACTCTATCAGGTAATTTGGCATGTACAAAATCTTCTGGCTAACTCATGTAGATGTCCTCAGCTAACTTCCCATTTACGAAAGAGGATTTAACATCTATTTTCCGTATTTCATAATCATGAAAGGCATCTATGGCAAACATTATCTTAATAGACTTTATCTTAGCCAGTGGTGAGAATGTCTCATCGTAGTCAATCCCTTGGGTTTGAGTAAACCCCTTCACAACCAGTAGTGATTTGAATGTGTACACCTTTCCATCTATGTCCGTCTTCTTCTTGAAGATCCATTTGAATCAAACTATCCTTTGACATGGTACATGATCAACAACATTCCAATCTTGGTTATCATACATAGATTGGATCTCGCTATCCATCCCTTCTTTCCACTTAGCAGCCTCAGGCCTGTCATCGCTTCCTTGTAGTTAGTCGCTCATCCAAATTTACTAGTATTATATCACATATAAACGTGTCACCATCCGACATAATATGGAAACCATTGAATGAAGGTGGCATGCTAACCCTACTGGATCGACGAAGAGGTAATGAATTGTTAGTAGGCTCAACTGGAGCCTCATCCTTTGGTTAAGAGCTAGTGTCATATAAGGTTCCTTCGTTGGATGACTCTCAAATTTCTTCTAGATCAATGGCACACGTAATGTCCTCTTTGAATATGAGCTCTCTCGTGAACAACACCCCTTCGAGCTATAAAAACCACATTC